GGAGGCAGAATATCAGAGATGCCAAAGAGCTCTGGGCAACATTCATGAGATTCTTCAAGTTTTATTCCCACAATAACCCTGTGATTTAGGGTCTAGATGGAGCACCTCATTCCAGAGACACACACACACACATATATATACTAGAAAGCAATGCTAGAGGATGGGGGCTCCTGGGACAACACACACACACACACACACACACACACACACAAATGAAAGCAATGCTAGAGGAGGGGGCTCCTGGGATAGAGGAAGCGAGATTCCCCCCTGCCCGCTTTCAAGAACTGCTGTCAAAATTGGCACTGCTGCGCCAGTGGAGAACATGGTTTGCACAGAGCAGTTCCTGTTGAGTGTATGCTCTTACTGCAAGTGAAGAATTTTGGGAAATCAGGGTCCTTACTCATCTGAAAAGCTGAAGCACAAGCAGGAACCTCTGCAAACATGTTGGAAAGCATTGTCAGATGGAGTGGGTGTAGGCATGCCCTCCTAAGAATATTGAAGAGCACTAGAGAAGTAGTAGGTAAATAGGAGTGTTCTGTATTTACCATCTGCCTCATCATTTACCATATGCTCCATCCCGCTCCCAGCTTTTTATGCCTTCACCAAGGAACTACTGCACTTTCTAGGATGTGTGAACATGTCCTTGATACCATTGGTGGTGCTCTGCTCTTTAATGAGGAGTTGTGCTCCAGGAGAGGCATTTTCTTTCTTGCTAGTGTTTTCCTCGTGTTTTCCTCCTCTTGCTAGTGTTTTCGTCCTTCCATGTGACTTGTCATATTAATTGTTACCCCGTTTTCCTGAATTAGTGTTTTCGTCCTTCCATGTGACTTGTCGTATGAATTGTTACCCCGTTTTCCTGAAAATAAGCCCTAACTTGAAAATAAGCCCTACTATGATTTTTCAGGATGCTCGCTATATAAGCATTACCCCCCAAAATAAGCCCCAGTTAAGTGAAACCCCACCCTCCACCATTGTGCAGAAACCAGAAGATGACATGACTGCATTTAAATAAATGTAGATTGCTGTGCATGAAAAAAATAAAACATCCCCTGAAAATAAGCCTTAATGCGTTTTCTGAAGCAAAAATTAATAGAAGACGCTGTCTTATTTTCGAGGGAACATACTAGTCTGCCTGCTGTTTCAAGGCAACCAGGAGGGGAGTGGCTTTGGGGATGAGGGGGCCCTTTCTTGGCTCAGGGCATGGGACCTTGGTGTAAGGCAGAGCTCCTTTTTTTTTTTTTTTTTTTGCTTGAAAGCAAGTTATCTGAATTGCCTGCCTGCAGCCATTTTATCTTTCCCTCATTTACTCTGAGTTTGTGTGAACAGCACTGTATCTTTTTGTTAGGCGTGTTAATAGGAACTATTAAGTGAACTGGGTACTGCCAATATAATGTTGATCTTGCTGGCATCCAATAATGTATTGCTCCCCGGTAGGTGGGGCTCATCAGCCTTGGAAGGCAGCCCATCTAGGAAAAGGAAAACTCTGATTTCAAATCTCCACTGCCTTGTGGCTACATCCACTGATGGAAAAGGCTTCAGGACTTAACCTCAAGGCAAAATCCAGAGCCAGAGTCCCAGAGGCAGTTCGTGCTGTTCTGGCAACTCTTGCAATGTTGTTGGAACCAGTTGTATTGACTCTTGCCTTTCCATTGGACTATTTCACTGATCTTTGCCTTTCCATTGGACTATTTCACTGATGTTGAGGGGCGGGGGTTGCTGCTTGGGTAACAGCATATCCTCCATATTATTTTCCCCAGGCTTCATGCTCTGGAGAGGACACTCCACCTTCGCATACAGTGTTGAAATAACACGGGAGGTAGCAGTTACCATTTATAAGTCTTTACTAGATTAGTCATAGAGCATGATGCCAGGGACTACTTCCTACAGTGGGAATAGCAGTTACCATTTATAAGTCTTTGCTTGATTAGCATAGAGCATGATGCCGGGGAGTACTTCCTACAGTGGGAGAGGGCATTGCACCTCACTAGGTAACTACCACCCACCTTAAGCTGGGCAGCCTAAGCCAGTAAGGTGCTGCCTCACCACGGTCTGTCGCACCACGGGGTGTGTGGGGTTTAGGGTGAAAGACGGCAAGCAGATCGATAACCCTGCACCATGCAAAAATAAGAAAACTTATGCCCTGAAGTTGGGCACCTGGAATGTTCAGACAATGACCCCTGGGTTTTCTGACAACCTGCACGAAATAGACAACGTGCGCAAGACAACTGTCATAGACATGGAACTGAGTAGGCTGCAGATGGACATTATTGCCCTGCAAGAGATGAGATTGCCAGACACAGGATCTGTCAAAGAAAAAAAACTCATTCTTCTGGCAGGGAAAACCATTGAATGAGACCAGGGAATACAGTGTTGGCTTTGCAGTCAGAAATACTCTACTGAGAGCCATTCTTCCACCTATTGTGGGGAGTGAAAGCATCCTGTCTCTGCAGCTCCACTCATCAGCGGGACTGGTCACCCTCATTAGTGCACATGCACCATGATCTACAACAGAAGTCAAAGACAAATTCTATGATGATCTGGCAGCTACTATAAAAAAATCCTTGAGAGAGCGCCGCTGTTCATTCTCAGAGACTTTAACACTAGAGTTGGTGCTGATCACAATTCTTGGATCACTTGTTTAGGTCGTTTTGGCATTGAGAAGATGAACAAAAATGGCTAACGCTTGCTGGAGTTTTGCTGTTCCTATGGTCTCTGTGTCAACAACACGTTCTTTAATACAAAGCTGCGATACAAGGATATCTGCAAGCAGGATCTGAAGGCCTTAGGATTGAACTTCAACCGATGGGAAATCTCGACATCTGAGCATTCAGCCTGGAGGCAGGCAGTGCAGCATGGCCTCTCCCAATTTGAAGAGACCCTTGTCCAGCAGACCAAGGCAAAGAGGCAGTCCCGAAACCAGCAAAATCAGGGAGCTGGACAGGGGACAGATTGAATTTGTCTTCAGTGTGGAAGGGATTGTCACTCTTGAATTGGCCTTCTCAGCCACAGTAGACATTGTTCCACGTCCTCTATTCAGAGCACGTTACCATAATGTCTTGAGATTGAAGGATGCCTAATCTAATCTAATGTATTGCAATGTATTGTGTAATTATAGTTCTGCCACAACACAAAATTAAGTCATTTACAATTCATTTAAAATATTTCAAAGGTTTAAAGAAAAAACAGTTAACTAACTAACTGTTTTTCTTTAAACCTTTGAAATATTTTAAATGAATTGTAAATGACTTAATGTTGTGTTGTGGCAGAACTATAATTGCATTTATTGCATTTGTTTCTTTTTGTGGACCTTTTGAGTACAATGTACTATGGAAAATGCAGCACACAAAATGGCTATGGCTATTAGCCTACTGGTCTATAGTAAAAATGACTATGATGTCAAAAAAACTTGCCATTCATTTTTCTTCTTTTATGACAAATCCCAACATGAGTAAAATGTTGCTTTTGAAATCAGATTTAGAAGTAGCGTGGAGAAGCAGCAAATGGCACATGTCAAGGTGCCTCCTGTGTATATTAAGGAGAATTGAGTGTTTGCTTAAGCAGATAGTCTATGCATTCAGGGCTTATTTATCTATTGTCTGAACGAGTCATATGGAAGGAAGAAAAGAAGATCTTGTTAAATGCCTCCTGCTGCTCTGTTGGCCTCTTCTCAATTCACTGACTGCCACCGAAGGGACTCACAGAGGCAAACTGCAGCTTCTCCTCTGTCAAAAGGACAATAATGGTGAAGAGTAAGATACTACTATTTTTGAAATAGGTCAGCTCACTGTTGCTTTCAGTATTGATGAAAATTCATATTTTTAGTCCTGTGGCTGAGGACCAGAATTATTCTGCTTAATCTCCTTGTTTCAGGACTGTATGAATAGAGACCTAATAAAAGTTCACACTTACATTTTCTGTGGTATTTTGTAACTCATTCCCCTGCCCCAATTTTTTCACCTCACTTCTGCATTTATTACTGAAGAAATCAGTAAGTAGTGATAATAATTGTGTGACCTCGTCAATTCTGACTGATGATTACCCTTTTCAAGGTTTTCTAGGTAGAGCGTACTCAGAAGTGGTTCATCGTTCCCTTTTTCTAGTGGTGCCTTGGGACCGTGCATCTTGTCCGAGGTCACACAGGCTGGCTGTTCTGGGATGCTCAGTGGGGGGAACTGAACTCCCAACCTATGGCTCTGCAGCCAGATGCGTAACTCACTGAGCTATGCAGCCAGCTATTATACTGTTAATATATAGTGAAATTGTTTTTTAAAGGGGAAAAATATATTTTAAATGTTTTAAATATACATATCCACCCTGCTTCACATGAGCACAGAGGAGTACCTATTGATATTTAGATGAAAAGACATATGGCATGCATCCACATCAGATTTTAAACCCAAGAAGACTTGACATAAGAAGGAACATGTTATGTGAACTATGCAAGTAAAACTTTGCATATACAAAGCAGCTGTAACTTTTCTGTAGCTTTTGTCAAATGTTCCAGCGAGGGAGAGGCTACATTACAATGTGTATTCGTCCTATGGACTGCTTGCCATACATAATTTTGGAAGATAAATGCTATGAACACCAACATCTGTGAGTACATTGTATAGTGTCCTTTTTTCTAAGACTGTTATGCTATAGTTACATACTTAGTACCAAGTCTCATTGACCTCTATTGGAAGTACATAGTTATGACCACCTATGAAAATACTGGGTGCTTTGGCATCACTTTACACATGGATGGGTGGGCTGGATGATGTCATTTGCAAGTCTACAAGATTACCCAGTAAGGTATTGTTTTCTGCAGCTCTAAAGCTGTTTTCAGAATAAAACCACTCTGTTCAGTGTTCCTTCGTTATCTTTGAATCTATCTAGTATGTGAAACTTCCTATGGTGTAGTAACTGGATAGAAGCAACTTGTTCTGAAAGATATTGCTGGAAGGAAATTTTCCTAAAATAATTTTCTTCACCTCTCTCTCCCTCTCTCTCTTTTTCAGGCAGAAGAAAATTCAGGAGTCAGTCTGTTCAGACACACGCTGCTCTAAACCAGCGGCCCCCTCGGTCAAGTCATTCTGGTCCAATCATCGAAAGCCACCACCCCTTCATCCAGACTTCCACTTCAGCTCATGAGATTGCGCAAGGGCTTGGCGGCAGCCAGCTTTCCTTCCACAATTCTGCAACCTCTGTGTTCTCCCAGACTCCTGCCATTCCCACCCTGGGGCAGCTCACTGTACAAGAAAGAGCTAGTGCTCTGCTGAGATCTAGTCTGGCCTCTTCCACCAGTTCAACACTCAGCCTCTTGTTTGGGAAGAGGAGTTTTTCAAGTGCTTTGGTCATTTCTGGGCTCTCGGCTGCTGATGGAGGAAACACCACTGATACCCAGTCATCCAGCAGTGTTAACATTGCAATGGGGCCGTCTGCTAGAGCAGCAAGCCGCACTTTGCAGGAAACCGCACGGGTAAGAGTAGTAATAATCATCACCATCCTGAGTGACTTGTTGTCTAATTAGTCAGTAATCAACAGAAGCATTCTTAAAGCTTTCAAGAATGCTAAAAATAAAGACTTTAGACAGAGAGCTAATTGGCAAGTCCTACAATTGGAAACAAATGAATTAACATTACTGTTACATTATTTGACACACCAATGTAAAAAAAGTGGAGAAATATTGTAAAAGGAAAATGGAGGTACCAAAACTATAATTTCTAGTAATATATATGATATTATCCTTAAGAACATACAGGCAGTGTGATACCAGAGATTTATCGTAGTTCCATTGGTGATCATGGTGTTTTCTTTTCCTTCTGCAACTAAAGTAATAACATACAGTATGTTTGGTGAACAAGGTAGATTTATGGCACTTCTGCCCCATTTTTCTAATAAAAGGCAATTTGTAAGCCACTGAGTGCTCATGGCGATAGTGTTTAAGAAGTCATATACTAAATCATTGTCCTTACTGTTGCCTTCCCTACTCAGTCTCTGCCAGAAGCATATTTAACGTTGCTCTGCAGCCTGCACTGGCATTGTCCTTCTGTTGGATGTGCCACAGCTGGGACAGGAAAATGTTCCTGGCCCAGAATCAAAATCTTGGCTAAGAGCTGAACTTCTTGAGCTGGAAACCAGGGCTTTGTTCCATCACACAGCTTCCCACGCTTTAAATAACCTCATCTCTTGCTGTTGATTTTCCATGCCTGTTGTAGCTCCTTAAGGTGCAGTAGATGCACCTCCAGAGAATTCTGAGGTCTCCAAGAGTGGCCCTTCAAGAAGTATAGCTGCCTTGGGTCCTTTTAAGGAGAAAGGAGAGAGGAAGAGAGGGAAGGAAGGAAGGAAGGAACAGGATCAAGATAGGAGCGCAGGGCTGAAAATTGCCATGTAGAAAACTGTGCTGTTTTGAGACATCCTGTCAGATATCTGCCATTTAGACGTTGATGACATTGTCTCTACTTCTCTTTTGCAAGCAATTAACTGAGGATTATGAAGCAACTGATGCTACTGAATCCAGACATCAAAAAGAGCTAGGAATGACACATGCTCTCCTGATGAGTCACATGATGGAATGCAGGCGAGCCAGCCAAGAAGACATGGCCCTGGAAGATACTGCTTCTCAACACAGTCTTTCAGAAGAGCAATAAAGGAGGCCTAATGTTCCTATGTACAACTGCAGCCAAAACACAAGTAGTTTAGATTTCCGGGGGTGGGGGGAAGTAAAATTATTTTGAGTACTGTATAAGAACAACCATTTAAAAGAATTTAAAGTTTTAATTCTTCATTGGGTGTACAGAAGCATAATATTCTATAATTAGTATTTAGTGCTGTAAAAAAAAGCCATGCAATTTCAGCTCAGGTTCCTGATTTCAAATGTGTTCTAGAAAACAATAATCTGTCTTGACATTCCTTTCTCCTCATGTTCTTAGGAAAGAATCTGGGAAACACAAGTGGGAGGGAGAGAAATAACATTCTTGGAAGTGCGAGTGAAAGCAACAGAAAATCTATGAAAAAGCACACTGACATCTGTCTCTTGTCGTAACCAAACCAATGATTGCATGCTAAATAACTGGCATTTTTTATACATACTGCATCAGAAAGGATTGTTTTTAATTGATGCAACGAATATGGAATAGGAGAGGAAATGGCATACTCTTAAGGTTAGTCTGCAAAGACTCTTTTTTTAAAAAATGGTCAAAAGGAAAGCCTCATTCTTCTGTTTGAAATGTTTTACCGCTGGCAATTATGTGCTGCAACATATTAATCCTAAAGGGGGTCCACTGCATGCAGCCATGATGAACTAGCCTATCAAAGTGCCAGGCTATGCATTGCCATGAACCACGTATAGCCAATGCATGACAAGCCTTCACAACGCCAATGGTGCTCCTTATTTGCAAACAGTGTAGCTTTCTCAAGAAGGTTCGTTTTACATATAATCTTTCACATGTGTTTGGTTTACAGGAAACCATGACTATTTCTGAAACCAAGAGACTTAACAACTGTAAAGTACTATAGTACTACTCTCTCACTCATTGACATCTCACTTATTTTGTAATTAAAGCCTCAGAACTACCAGTGTCTTCTTTGCCGTCTTGCGTGAATCTTTTCTACTATTTATTTCATTAATGTTCCAAAATCATTTTCACAAACTGCCCCGTGCAGTTAATTCATAGGCATTTTTTCTGTATTTTTTTAAAGAAAGATTGATTGTACACAGAACAGATATTCATATTACTGGAAATTAGACTGAAATCCATGTGACACAGTGGCTGAAACTTAGTAGATGCAACTGCACTGCATAAACATACCCTCACCCTGCACCTTTTAATTTTAATTACATTTAAAACTTCCTATTCCCTCACTTCAAATTCTGAAGCTCCCTAATGCTCCCTTTTGCCCTGTGAGAAATAGGATGAGGGAATCAGAAAATCGCCACCAGTAGTCTTGCTACTGGATCCGGACTACCACAGCCAATCCAGTGACAATTTAAAGGATCCCCTCTCTATCCTGTGTCTCCCAAAGTCTTCCCCAAGGCAAAAGAGAGCCCTAAGAAATGTCAGACTCTGAAGAGTAGAACAAGAGATTTGGAATATAATTAAAATTTTAAAAGGTGGAAGGTGATAACACCATCACTATTTTATGTGGCAGTTGCACCCATTGGATTTCAGCCATTATATGTAGAAAAGTTGGATATACATCTAAGACAGTTGGAGAATCTATTATTCCCCCAAACCCCATGGTTGTTTTTTTTAAATGCAGTATAGTGTAATTGCGATATGATTGCATTTTGCAAAATTTGATCAAAGGTGGAATAGCGAAGTGTCCATCTTGGACAATAAGAACTAAGACAGGCTGGTGCACACTTTTAGGTCTCACTGAGTGCACAGAACACCCAAAGGTCAGCCAACATATGCCCAACCTACAACTATGGTGGAATGTCTCAGGCCATGTTTATTACTCCCATGAATCTAATACAATATAAATGAAACACAAAAGACTTCATGCTCAAGCTAACTTTTGTAAATCAATAGTATTTGGGAATAATGCAGCTCAAGATTTATAAGGGTGGGAGAGGCACTCATTTCAGCCAGTCTGAAATATTTGGCAGGGAAATATTTGCTTGTCCAAGTGCAGCCATTCAAAGCTAGGGTACAAGTTTGCTGCTATTCTCCCCCTCTTAAAAAAAGTAAAAACCTTAAGACTCCAAATAATCAAAGGTCTGTGGTAGTTGGGGTAGGGGAAGCAGGTAAAAGCTCTTTAGAGCACGCATGTTTACTGTCTCTTTTTTTTCTGCCAAAGAATGGGGCAAGAGGAGCAAAGTGGTGGCTGGCTACAGCTTTCTTTCTTTTACCATTCTGACAGAAGCAATGGTGAAACCTCCACTGACTTGAGCCTGGGTCCCAGCCAACCATATAAACTTCCTCTCACCCCTTTTGCAGTAACTCTTTTGTGACAGGCACAGCTATCACAAAGTGACAAGAATGGCTTCCCCGTCCTCTGGCCTATTCAGTTGGAACTTATTCTCCTCTAACAATAGATCATATTTTCTGGGAGGCATGAAATGTGCTTTTTGGCAGTTCCAGCTGGTATTTTCTCCCACATAAGAAGAGCCTTTCTGGCTAGGCGCAAGGGCTTCTCTAGACCACCATCCTGTCTCCCACAGGGTCTGGCCTCTGGGAAATCTGCAGGCACAAGATGAGGCCAATTGGTTCTCTCCTGCTGCTAGTAACTGGTAGGCAGTCATACAAAGCCGCAACACTGGAAAGTGCTAATAGGCTGAGATGTGCCTTGCAACCAGAGATTGATACTGCTTAAAAACACACACAGATAAAAGAAAGAGATAACAGTAATGCCATATCAAATGCAAGACTTCAGTGCAGCCTCTGTTCAGGTTTGCAGGGATCCTCTAAAGTAGAGATGGGAAGCCATGGCTATCTAGATATTTGGTGGCAACTCCAATCAGGCCAGCTAGTGTGGTGAATGGCCAGAGGTGATGGAACATGTAGTCCAGCAATAAGTATCCAGAGGGTCACACTTCCCCACAGCAGCTGTAAACAAAGCTGGCTGAAGCCTGACATGTCTTCAGAGTATTCAATTGCCTTATTTATTGTACTTTTCATATCTCAAGATTTTGTGGGACGGGATGAGATATAATCTCATCTCAATGTGGTCTCGGCTTTCATGCTGTTCTTTAGTAAGATCCTAAATGCTCAAATAGAACAACCACATCAGACACAAATTTGTGTAGAACAGCATACAGTTTACAAACACAGCCACCCACTCCTCTAGGAACTGTTTCTCTAGGAATGTTGTACACAGTAGACATAAGATTTGTTTCAATAAAAATTGTTTCAGTCAAAATTGATTTACTAGGCAATTCTCATCCAGTTTTGGATCCAATAGAGTCCAAGCGAATGTACAGCTTCTATAAACAAATGTTCTAGGATTAATCACAGGGCAGTTGCATTATGAGCTGAGCACAAGCTCACAGGAAAAAAAAACTTATGGCAATGGGAGCAAACGCATGAACAACTTTGTGCAGTGATACAACCACCATTTTCTTATGTCAGCAACAGTTTTAAGGCAAACCAGAAAATTATACACCTGTCACATATTCTCTGTGATTTTAGGCTATTTGTGCGGTCACATCATGCTTGCTTGTAGTTTTTTTCTTTTTTTGGAACTGGTACAAGCAGTCTTTCATTCCCAGATACACAGCTGTCCTGTGCTGATTTTGAGCAGAATGTTTACAGGAATCAAAAACAAGCTGAAACACACACCAGGGCTGAGTTCATGTTGAGCAGTACCGGAGGCTAAAGCTACATCTTGTCAAATCCATGTTCTGTTTTTGTGCACTATGCCAGAAGAAGCCTTTTCATGTTTCCCATAAAAAGAGGGTTCATACTCCCAAAATTGCAAACACACATTTTCCTTTCTTCTGTATTTACTATCGTTCTCCCAATTAACTAAAAACAATGGCTTCTAATCATGATCTAAATGGACAAACTGACAAAGAGTAGAGGGAAATTACTCAGATTATTTAAGACAAAAATTGCATTGATTTTATATAAAAGAAAAACAGCTGACTGTCAGAAGATGGATGAGACAGCATGTCATTGAACTTCTACCCTGTTGAAAATGAGCCATGTCCTTTGCATTGTGTTTGCGTGGGTACAGTAAGTGGTGGTGAAAAAGAGAGGTTACCTACCTGTAACCATGGTTCTTCTAGTGGTCCTCTGTGAATCCACACAAATGGATTGTTCTGCGCCTGCGCAGGACCTCTCGGACGTTTCCAGAGCTTAAAGATAATTGATTAGTGGGACGTTCCCCCATGGAGCGCATGCTCCACCCACCCAAAGTCCCCTCAGTTACTATAAGAGTCTGCCGCTGTCAAAAAGCTATATTAAACAGGACAATGTGGCAGACAGAGGGGAGGATGTGTGGGATGTGTGCATTCGCAGAAGACTACTATAAGAACAATGGTTACAGGTAGGTAACCTCTCTTCTTCATGGTCTCTGTGAATGCACAGAAGTGGGTGACTGGCAAGCTCACTTACCGGATGGTGGGACGTCATGGTAGAAGAGAAGTCAAAACAGCTCTGTCAAACGCAGCATTATTTTTCGCCCAGATATCAAGATGGTAATGTCTCACGAAGGTCGAGGGATTAGACCATGTAGCTGCACAGATGTGAGGAAGCTCAGTTCCACGGTGAAGTGCAGTAGACGTGGACAGCGCTCTAATAGAATGGGCCTTCAAATGGTGGTGTTTTGCCTGTCAATTCATATACCAGTGAGATAGTTTGAATAATCCATCAATAGTTTGAGGTGAAGCTGGTGCACCTTTATGAGGGCCATGGAAATATAGAAAAAGTCGTGGTAATTTTCTAATGATTTAGTCCTACAAATGTAGAAGGCTAGAGTGCGTCTTACGTACATCAAGCATGTGGAGCATGTGCTCGAGTGGTGTAGAAGGAGAAGGGAACAGAGTAGGTAATATCAACGGTTGATTAAGATGAAATTCAGAGACAACTTTAGGTAAAAACGATACATCAAGATAGAGGGTGACTTTATCTGGGTGAAACCGGAGGAAAGGTGGGTCGGATTTGAGAGCAGCAAGTTTACTAGCATGTTTAGCAGATGTTATTGATATGAGGAATGACGTCTTCAGAGAAAGAAACTTAAAATTGGCAGTAGCCATTGGTTCAAAGGGTGGTCAAGTAAGTGCATTGAGGACAAGCTGTAAGGACCACTGTGGAAGAGGATGTTGACATGGTGGGCGAATATTGTGGAGTCCCTTGAGGAATTTTTTCGAAGTTGGGTGGGAAAAAAGCTTAGCAGAATTGGAATGAAGCGGCTGGTGCTCCACAATATAAACCTTCAAGGTAGAGTGAGATAGTCCAAGATGAAAGAGATGAAAGTTAAGTGCAGTCTTCAAAGAAACAGGGATCGCAGGTAAGTTGTGGGAGTTGATAGGAAAACCTTCCATTTATTCCAATATAGAAGTTGGGTCAAAGATTTTCAAGCTCAATCAAGTATGTCTTTTATGGTGGGAGTATTCTCCATGCTGTCAGGTTCAGAAAGTCTATGTCTGGATGGTAAACTGTCCTGTTGTCCTGGGTGAGAAGATTGGGTATTGAGGGGAGATGGAAGAAATCTGTTGACATCAACCTCAGGTGGGTGAAACATGGTTGTTGTGGCCATCATGGGGTGAGAAGTATGGCATTTCAGCAAAAATGATGAAGCTGAAGGATGGCGTGTTGAATGAGTGGTATTTGGGGGAAGAGGTAGAGGAATTCGTCATTCCAATCTATCATAAAGGCATATCTGAGTGAATTCTTGCTGGTACTGGCACGGGAGCAATATCGGTGATACTTGTCATTGGTCTCGGAGGCAAAGACATAGATGGACGGGAAACCCCACCGGTGGCAGAGGAGATTGAAAACGTTGTCATCGTGTTCGCATGCTGAGGGAACTGAGATTGCCTGCGAGTTGATTGTTGTCTGTGGAGACATGTACTGCTGCTGGGAAAATGTGGTGTAGGTACACCACTCCCAGAGCTCCATTGGCCACCACGGGGTGA